TTTTACAATAATTATTATTTTCTTCTATACAAAATTTAGAAAAAAATTTCCTTTTCTTTTTTTTGCACAAATTCTAGGCCCACTTCCGAAGCCTCACAATCGTATAATGCCTATCTTTCCCAAGACTACAAATACTGTATTCAAGTACAAAGTAACCGGTTTCGACTTATTTCTACTTAAGAAGTAGTTAAATAATTAAGAGATCAGGGAATTAGGGGCATATATACAACCCTGCTGAAAGAGCCGGAATTTTACTTAAACCAAAGCTTAACCGAACCAATCTAGCCGAGTATAGTGGGGACTGATTTCTTCGTAATATTAGATGTAATGAAGACAGAAAATTTTCCAGTTCAACGAGAGCAGTGGCGTACCGTAGGTGTCAGCCGCCCGGGGCGGAGGAAAATTTTGGCCCCCCTTACTTAGGTAATTCACTTTAATTAAAAGACCAAAATTCAGTTTTGTCACAGAACAAGCAATGAAAGATTCGCGCGGTAATGCAGCGACCTGTTTAAAATAGTTCTATCGAACATTAGTGGTGTATATGAACACGAATGAATCGTACAAGCAAAAAAAAAAGGTCAACAGGTTTCGCATAATTTCCTTGGAAGAAAAAATTACTAGTTCACCGAGACGGCGAGCCATTTCCCGGACTGTCCGGACGATAGCACTATCGTAGGCGCGATGCAAGTATAGATTAGGATGTTTCAAATTTTTACAAGATATTATTATTTATTGTGAAATTTTGCCGCCCCTAAAAGGTAATTTTGCCGCCCCCTAAAAAGTGCCGCCCGGGGCGGGCCGCCCCTGCTGCCCCCACTACGGTACGCCACTGAACGAGAGTGACCGAAAAGTTGTAAATTTTGGAAATTTCCATGGACACCTGGTCGTAAAACGAATTAGTTAGAAAACAAATGATGGACAATCTACTTAGTATTAAGTTTAACATATTTAGATTTTTACAGCTATGGTGAGAAACGTTTCAAATTTACGATAACCCTGTCGCGTCCTTTGAGATATACTAGTGATTCGACAAAAGAGGCATTTGACATTAACCGGTATCGGCACCCTCGGGATTTGGCATCCCACGTGCATGCCCGCACTGCACACCTACCAAGACCGTCTCTGATTCTATCCATTAGCCGCTGGTAGAAAGCTATATGACTAAGTGAATTGTTTTAAGATTTAAAAAGTAAAGAGTATTTTATGTCATTTTTNAAAATTACTAGTTCACCGAGACGGCGAGCCATTTCCCGGACTGTCCGGACGATAGCACTATCGTAGGCGCGATGCAAGTATAGATTAGGATGTTTCAAATTTTTACAAGATATTATTATTTATTGTGAAATTTTGCCGCCCCTAAAAGGTAATTTTGCCGCCCCCTAAAAAGTGCCGCCCGGGGCGGGCCGCCCCTGCTGCCCCCACTACGGTACGCCACTGAACGAGAGTGACCGAAAAGTTGTAAATTTTGGAAATTTCCATGGACACCTGGTCGTAAAACGAATTAGTTAGAAAACAAATGATGGACAATCTACTTAGTATTAAGTTTAACATATTTAGATTTTTACAGCTATGGTGAGAAACGTTTCAAATTTACGATAACCCTGTCGCGTCCTTTGAGATATACTAGTGATTCGACAAAAGAGGCATTTGACATTAACCGGTATCGGCACCCTCAGGATTTTGCATCCCACGTGCATGCCCGCACTGCACACCTACCAAGACCGTCTCTGATTCTATCCATTAGCCGCTGGTAGAAAGCTATATGACTAAGTGAATTGTTTTAAGATTTAAAAAGTAAAGAGTATTTTATGTCATTTTTATGTACGTTTCTTTATAAAGCTACATTTAATTATAATTTTCTTAAAAGTATATTCACACAATTGAAGAATATTTTATACCAGGTATGTATATCCACCACACATTTTATTTCACCAAGTAAGTTTGTATAAGTTTATTTTAAATTTTAGCCCTTATATCGTGGCTAGCGATTCGGAATGTAATTGTGATATTAAAAATATATTTAGAGAAGTCTACGGTTTTTATTGGCTTATCGAACAAACGAATACGAATGGACCCTAGACCATCACTGACGCGCAATTAACCGCTTGACCCTGGAAATCGGCTTCTTACAGAAACCTGCTTCCCTATCATCAAATGTCACGGCACGTCACTGATTCTATCAGTCAGAAATGAATGTTATAATATAATCTCTATTTTTTATATATAATAATTTTAATATTTTCGACTATTTTTAATGTTCGATAGAGAAATTAGTTTGTAAAAGATTGTACTATTCTGTTGACTGCCGTAACACAAAACATCTGTGAAAAAAGAGAAAACAAGACGACGAATGAACTCGAATTATTCTAAATAATTAAGATTCAGACGAATTTCACATGAGATTATAATGTGTATACATATGTAATATATAAATTATAGCGGGTAATAAGAGATTCAAAGTAGGCTATTTATCCTCACCTCCTCAGCTGTTTACTTACAAGTATAATCAAACACCAAACATTTGCTGAGCTTACTATTAATTTAATATTCAAACGCTTTCAGTCTATTCTTATAATAGGCCATCCTCAGAAAATTACTGTTCGATTGTAGAACAGTAATTTCCCGAGGATGGACTATTAAGAATAGGCTGAAAGCGTTTTAATCACCGCTTGCATACATCCGTGGTTTACAATGCAGTAAATTGTTGGATCAGCGATTGGAGCGTGTTTAGGCTTATTCACACCTGGAAGCACTGCTTCAAATATTTTAATATATCAATATATTACCAGGGCCTTCGAAAGCTTGTATGGGGCCCTGGGTTGAAGAGGCCCCCTTTATCTTTTAGCGTGCCTCTTTTGTCTTTGCTTTTTAATTAAATAAATGAAATAAGTAGAATGTTTCCCTGTAAATTAATGTTATTTTTACTAATAAAAAATTACATTGATTTATATGAATAGGAAATTATATATTTTTAAGGATTATTGATTCTGTATTTTAAACATTAATCACAAATAAATAATTATTTTAAATTAATTACAAATTCTAAAATATGGCTCTAATTTGACATTCACTTTCTGGTGATGGAAACAGGCGTGTAATACTGTAAATAATTAATTATAATTCTAGAAAATTTTGAAATAATTTTTAATTACAGAAAAGTAAAATGTTTTTAGGAGTTTTAATGATTCCTTAATTTATATCCCATTCTTAATGTTAATTGCACAAGTATTCAATAATGTAGAAATGAAAAAATTCCTCGACAGTCATAAATGTCAATTTGCATTCGTTTACAAAGCTAACAAGAATATGTAAAAACATAAAAGTATATTTGAAGGTTTGTACAGAACTAATTTATTGTATTTTATATTTTATTTTTCTAAATAAATTATTGGTTATATTTTTTAAAATAACGTATCCTACTATGCAAAATAGAAAAAAATAAATTAAAAATTATAATAAAAATTTTAGACCGTTAGGTTGTGCTGTGATCGAACCACGTGTTTAACGATTAAAGATGGTTCCGTAGTCTCGTTAAAATTTCTGATTTTTTTTTATACTTGAGTAATGGAAAAGGTTAGAAAATCTAGCAAGAAAGAAAAACGTTGGGAATCCAAGAAACGAAAAATTAATGCCTTTTTACAACTAATTGAGAGTACAACTAGTAACGACATGCCACCCGAAAACAGAAATTGTGACTCATTAAAAGGTAATTCGGTTTCCCTTAACAAAATAAAAACCGAATCTTACATTCAGGAACAAAAACTGTTAAGAGAAAAACTTCGTCAAGCTAAAGAAATGAAGGGACCTGAATTGAAGCTGAACAAGGATGGTTTTAATGCTCAATTATTTGTGTATCCAGAAGCTGGAATTTTTAGATGTTCGTCGCCTATTTTCACGGATGATATAAAACAGTTTTTAATATTGTTAACGCAAAATAATTTTTGTAGTACAAGATGGTGTAAAGTGAATCGTTGTCACCGAATTAGTCAAGTTATTTTACTGATGGTAAATGGCTTGTCTGCAGATCATTATTGCCAGAACATCAACTGTTTTCCCAGAACAAAGCGTCTACCGTTACACTTGTTTGAAGTTGTTCCTCCAGCCAGTTATGGAATAAATATTGTAGAGGCTCTTTGTTTTTGCCCGGCAAATTGTAGAAGTAATTTCCAGAATGTATCTGCGGCGAATGGGAAAATAGAAAATTCCGAAGAAACGGTAGAGAAAACAAAATTCCGAGCTGTTTCGAAAATCAGTTTACTATTATCTCCCACACAGATGATAATGGAACAGTATCCTTTACCATTTGATAATTCTTTTAAAGATTATTGTTTTACAAAAGTTAAATATAAGGATGTATGCCCAACGTCTCCCTTATATGCTTTAGATTGTGAAATGGTTATGACGGCGGAAAATAAATTAGAAGTTGCTCGTATTTCGATAGTGGATGAAAACTTGAAAGTCATATATGATACTTATGTGCTTCCGAGTGCACCCATCAGAGATTACCTGACGAAGTTTAGTGGAATTACAAAATCAACTTTAGAAAACGTAAAGATCACATTAAAAGATGTGCAACAAAATATTCGGGAATTGTTACCACCAGATGCTATTCTTTGTGGCCAGTCATTAAATTATGATTTTCATGCTTTAAAAATTATTCATCCATATGTTATAGACACTAGTGTGATATATAATTTGAGTGGTGCGAGATGGAAAAAAACTTCATTGAAAAATCTATCTAGAAAATTTTTAGGAGAGGAAATTCAATGTAGTGAAAATGGTCATTCTCCTATTGAAGACAGTAAAACAACAATGAAGTTAGTTTTGTTGAAATTAAAACATGGTTTAGAATTTGGTGATGCAGTTTTGAGCAGCAAGCTTAACAAACCATCTCATGCGTTTTCAAATCCCTGTAATCCCATTGTTCCAAAAAGTGGAAGTAAATGTGTCATAGGAAATGATTTGATTTTAAATTGGTTTCTCCGACAACAAATTCAAGTAGTAAGATTAATGAAGACAGAAACTAATAAGCAAACCAGAAAATTAATGAGGAAAGAAATGACACAACATTATTTTACAGTATGTTTATTAAATGTGAAGAGAGATGTTGCAAAAGATTTTGTGAGCTGTCTAGAAGATATTGACAAAACAATTAACAAGATTTACAAAGAATGTGCAGAGAATGCTCTGTTTGTTGTGGCAACCAGTGGTTGTTTTGACGAAACTTCATACAGGTATCAGAATGGACTCTGTATGTTAAAATTTAAAACCGAAAAATAAAATCTGTATTTTGTGGCTACTTGCAAAAAATAATATTGCAGAAATTAATCTTTCATCCTTCATTATGTGCAAATATAACATCAGTATTTGTTTCACTTACATTATATATTATATATCCAATATAATCAATTGTTACTTCAAAAAATAATTTTAAAAATTTATCACTGTAAAATATGTGAACTTTGTTTGTTTTCCATAATTATGTAATTCTCCGACTTTTTTTTATATAAATTTTGAATGTGGAATTTTGAACTGTCAAGTCTAAAGTATTGTTTTAAGACAGTTGTATGTATTAAAATTTTATTGTATTTAAAGTATGTAAATAATATAAATTTTAAAAAACTAATTTATTAAAATAAAATTTCTTATTTAAAAAATCTTGTTATTTATTGAGATAGTATTATTTCTAAACACAAATAAACTATTAATAAATTGAATTTTTACTAAAAATTTGTTTCCAAACATTGAATACAAAGAATAGTTTACAAGATATTGGTAATATAATAAACAGGTTATTACTATTTGCATAGAAATTATAAAGTTGATAAAAATTAAAGATGGTAATTTAGCATGAAAATATTACCAATGAAATGTGCTTATTTTAAAAGGAAGAAAATGATAACCTTGACTTTTTAAAAATTTCTATTAAAGGAATTACAATTACAACCAGAATGTAAATTAATTTTTGACGCTTTTTAATTTAAAAAAATAAAGAATTTTTAGCATTTTCCTTTTCGCATTCCTGGAATATTTTTATTTAATTCTAATTACAATTTTTTTTTTTTGTTTGTAATATCAGATATTTGTAGTATAGAAATTTTTACATGTACACTAAATACAGAAGTATTTTTCTTCTGTTTTGTCTATAAATACTTTAGCGAGTTTGCTTACTCAGAATCGGTACTTGTCAAAAAATTTTAAAATGTCATTTTAGAGAATTGCTAAATCTATTCGTAAAAAAAAAAGCGGAGTTTCGAAGTAGGAAAAAGTTTAAGGAAGTTTTGTTGCAATAAAATTAATGTAGAGAAACAATGGAAATTTGAGGAGATAAGAACGTTTTATCTTTCGAATTTCTGCAAATTTAGTTTGCTAAGTCAGTTCGAGAGACAGCCTAAAATAGTATTTGTGGATGAAAGATAAACTGTTTTTTTTTTTTTTTTCTACGAGTAAAATATTACGCATTTACTATCTTACGCACACTTTTAAAGACTCTCCTATTATTTATTTATTTATTTTTTATTACTGTTATACGATTATATTTATTTAATGATAAAAACTGATGGAGCAATAAACTTTTTAATTCTTAAAGTTTTATATTATCGTGATTTTTAATAGAAGTTTTCAATTTTATCGTTTTATCACTTTATTATGGCTTCATTATTTATCAACTGATAAAGATATCGAATTAATTAAATAAATGAAAAATAAATAAAGCAAATTGTCTCTCAAATATTTATTTATTTTTTAAAAATATTTTAATAATAACAAGACAGTTTTACGTAATCACTAATTATTCTTTAAAAATTATTTTGATTGTTTAGTAAAACTTTTTATGACGAGTTTCGTAATAAAAATAGAAATAAAATTTCAAATTTCTGAACTACGGAGAAACTTGAAATTATTATTAAAAATTAAATTAAGGGATATTTTATTAAATAATTAACTGGATTTAAGATAGAATTGTCGCAAATAAAATTTTTTTCCTTTTAAAACTATAATTCTACAATTAGCCGACAGGTGTCAGATAGGTCATCGCCATTTTCACCGGTGAAGTCGTCTGCCTTTCGTGTTGGGTTGTAATAGTTAATATTATGTATTTATATTTATTTATATATTTATAAGATCACAGATGTTTCTAAAGGATGAAAAAAATTACGCAAGATAATCAAATATCTATTAACGATAGCGAAAATGTTGAAACGGAAGTTAGTGATCGTCAAAGGTAAACAAAAATCCATTCTTTCATTGTGGAAACTATTTTTAAAGTTAATTTATTCGTGTCGGGTACTTGTTCTCGAGCGATTCTTATACGAATGAAGTTTATAATCACTATTTTACAGTCTAGCTACACACTCATTATCTTTTGTTACACAATAACTTCATCAAATGTTTACACAGTAATTATAAGCAACCTTCGGCTTTAGGAATTCATTTTATAATTATACACGCATTACTTTTAAATCACTTTCTTTCCAAGTTCACAGCAACCGTACAGAACAAATAATAATGTCTTTTATACAACGAACAAAGTTTTATTATTATTTTAATTAAATATGTGGATAATATTTGGTATGAAATATTTCCAGTGGTTAATGATTGTTTATACAGATGTATTTCAATAATATTCCAATATTTTGAAATGATTCTGTATTAAATATTAGTTTTAGTAACCTTTGGTCTTATTAGGGTGATTTCTATGGTTGTTATTAATCTGCTTTGATGTTATAATTAACAAATAAGATTTTTAATTGAATACTGTGATTTTCTTTTTGAAACCATGTCCTGTTTTATATTTGTGGCGTAGTAAACACTAATATTCTGTTTTATTCCAAAGACACATGGCAAATTTTCAACTAATAAAGGAATTTGATGGAAAATTTGCCATGTGTCTTTGGAATAAAATACAATACTAGTGTTTACTACGCCACATGAATACTGTGATTTTAAGCATTTGAAAATATCAATAGACTAAATATTCTTTGCTGCGATTATTCTATATGAAAAAAATGTTAAATGAAATGAAATTGTAAATGAATTTTAATATTTTGACAGAGAAATAAATGAATAACTTGTAAAAATTAAAAAATATTATATTAAACCAGTTTAAAAAAATTTTGCATAGTTGTTTTGCTTTTGTAATTTTTTTATCAAGCTATATTTAAACTTTATCTTATTTCCACCATTGCGACATTAACTGATATTTATTGTTTTCTTATTACTAAGATAATCTTTATTGTTTGAAAAAAACCTTTTACCTGTTATATGAAGTTAAATATATTAAAGATAGTTTAAGATAGTGATTTAGACGAAAAAGTGATAATTCAGAAACTAAATTTAAATAAATATTTAATCTAGAATGCTTTTGGATTAAAATATGGCCTGTATGTACAGTACTTTGCTAAAAGTATATTATCTAAAATATTAATGTAAAGGAATGGTATAAAATTAGATATATAGTTCTCGTGCATTTGATAAGACTGATAAAAATTTGAATGCTACTAAAAATAACTGGTTATATGGTATAAATACTCACAAAATAAACCTTTAAATCCAACATATCATGTTATATGGTTTGATAATTTCTTATAATCTTAAGTTTTAAGTTATTTTGTTGTATACTAACTTTGTGTGATAGTTTAATTAGTTGTGAATTAATGCTTAAAACATGTTTTTAAGTTGAAGAAAAGTTATGATGGTTATTAGAAAACCAATTGCATAATGAATGTTCCACAATTTAAATATATGGAACTTGAATTTACATTCTGTTTGTATTCAATTCCATTTGAATTTTGATATTTTATGAATAGTCTGAATAATGCCATTATAGATGGCCATTATAGATATAAAATGTTAGCAGTGAGTAGATATACTGGATTTAAAGGTTTATTTTGTGTGTTTAAAAATTTGAATAAATTCATATTTACTCTGATAAATATTTTGTCTAATATAGTTATGTGATAACATTTATTAAATTTAAAAGTATATATTATTCATAATGTTTAATATAAGTATTATGAATTTAGATATAACTAGAGTTTAAAAGTGATATAACCAATTATATTAGGTTAAAATTCTACTAAAAACTTATAGATTTATTTTTCCAAAATTCTGAAGCTTGATACTGTATGTGGTTTGAATTTTTTGATTGTATGGTCTTATTCGTTCTGTTTACAAGTTAGATGACATATTAGTTTGATGAATACAAATTCCAATAATAAAAATTCCAATTTTCTTAATATACAAATTAAAATTTATTCAGTATAAAAAATTGAAAATATGATTTCACCCTTTCATGTTTTTACAATAAATATTGTTCACTATATTTCTTGACTATTTTAATTTGAATGGTTAAATCTATAAAATTACATAGTTTCTCATTTCAAAATTTATAAAAACAAACATCAGATTTATAAAAAATTTATTAATATAGATCTTAAAGAATTTATAAATATAATTGTTTAACTAATAAATTAATAAAGTTTAGATTTTTGTATTTTCTATGTTCAGTTTTTGATTTAATATATGCTTTTGCAAACAGAATTATATAATTAAATTAATTAAAATATCTACAAATGAGTGGCAGATAATAGTAAGGGTTTATCACACCAGTGATAATGGGCACAAATGCTTAGGAATCAAAGTAAAAACATTTAATAAAACAAAAAAGGGGTATACAGTAAAATTGACTACATAAGTATGGAAACAAAAACCCAAAATGCATTAATAGAAAACAGTCCGAATCAGTTCAGTCCCTTATCAGTTGGTATTAACTAAAGGTGTTAATATACTTAAAAATTATACAAGATAAAGATAAACTTAAAACTATGCTTGAAGCTATACAATATAAAGATGAACACGTCGCTATAACTGTATGAGCAGTAAGTATCATTAATGAAGACAGGTGTAATAAATCTTCATAATGCTGCAGGGTGGTGTGACATACAGGGTGCTGATATAAAACAGTTATAAGTTAGCCCAATAATTGGTTTACAGTTGTGAACTAATGTTATACAGACAGATTATATACATTCCAAAAGCAGTAAGACAACAGAGTTGCATGTGCAGGCATTATGGCAAGGTGCAGGTAGTAGTTATAAAGGGTTCACATCTGGTGCACAAGTTGTGACAATATACAAGTTTACAACAGTTTTAACAAGACAGAGTCCTAACATCACAAAGATATTTTGTTTTTAAAAAAGATATAATTGTGCTGTTCTTCATCAATTTTAACACCTGAATTATCATGAATTCTATTAACATTATTAATTTTTAAAATCTCTATATGTTCAAAATATTTACGTTTATAGGTGTTAGTTTTGAATTTTAGTGCTTTTATTGTACTTTTATCAATTTTGCAACTATATAAATTGCAGTGTTTAGCAATTGCAGAGTTTTCAAAGTATTCAGAATTGTATTTAATAGAATATTTGAGAATTTCCTATTTTTGTTTAAACATTCATTAATATCTACCAGATTTCACAGTAATAATGCTTAATTAGTATTTTATAGTAGTTGATAATCAGTATTTTATAATAATAATTAAAAGAAACATTTAACAAATTATAGAGTATTTAATTCTTAAGAGTAGAATTTTGCTTGGAAAAATCAGTTAAA